ATTTATATAGTTTCTTTTTAATTCTCTTGAGCAGTGTTTTGTAGTTTCTAGCATACAAGGCTTTCATCAAGCAGGTGGATTTATTCCTAAGTATTTAATTCTTTTAGATGTTGTTTTAGATGGAACTGCTCTCTTAATTTCCATTTTGAAATTTATTTATTTATTTATTCTTTTCGACAGTGCTGGGTCTCGGCTGCTAAACGTGAGCTTTTCTCCGACTGCGGCGAGTGGGGGCTGCTCTCTGGTGTGTTGTAGGGGCCTCACACTGCAGTGACTTGTCCTGGGGCGGTGCACAGGCTCTAGGGCGCGGGCTTCAGCAGTTGTGGCTCCTGGGCTCCAGAGCACAGGCTCAATAGCTGTGGGGCATCGGCTTAGCTGCTTCTCGGCATGTGGGACGCTTTTGATGCTTTTGAACTGTGGTGTTGGAGAAGACTCTTGAGAGTCCCTTGGACTGCAAGGAGATCAAACCAGTCCATCCTAAAGGAGATCAGTCCTGCATATTCATTGGGAGGCCTGATGCTGAAGCTGAAGTTCCAATACTTTGGCCACCTGATGTGAAGAACTGACTCATTGGAAAAGACCCTGATGCTGGGAAAGATTGAAGGCAGGAGGAGAAGGGGACAACAGAGGATGAGATGATTGGATGGCATCACCGACTCGATGGACATGAGTTTGAGCAAACTCCTGGATTTGGTGATGGACAGGGAGGCCTGGCGTGCTGCAGTCCATGAGGTCGCAAAGTCGGACATGACTGAGCGAGTGAACTGAACTGATGTGGGATCTTCCCCAGTCAGGGATCAAACCTGTGTTTCTTGCATTGGCAGGTGCATTCTTTACCACTGAGTCATTCTTTACCAGGGAAGCTCTTAATTTCCTTTTATCGCCTGAATTATTTGTGATCTTACTACTTCCTACTAGCTAACATTTTAATGTTATGTATTTTTGTCTTCTGTCTCCTTTACAAGAACTAAACTTCCATAAGGGCTACAGCTTAGATTTTATTGTCATGGTATCTTAACAGTGTCAGGCAGATAGTTCAGTACATAACTCTTAAGAGCATAGTAATGACAGAACCATTCACCTATATCAGCATTCGCTTCATTTTCCATAGCTTTTGTCTTGGGCCACAACAAAGACAATACTGCACAAGAGCTGTGAACATGAATTTCCTGCAGTGAAGGTTTTATTTTTATGGCAAAAATTCTTCATCAGGGAATTGACATGCACTTGTCTTTTTAATCATATCTGCAGTTTTCAGACTGCTTTCCAAGGTGATGCGATGATTCCCCTTTCTGCCATCATCGTACAAAGGTCCCCCACCCCTCCTACTCCCCCACCAGGCTCCTGTTCAGTGTCAGCAGCCTGGGGGTGGAGCCTGTGTCAGCGGCGCTCGAATTGGCATCTCCCCCATGGCCTGCGAACTTAAACACCCTCACGTGTTTGTTGATGAACTGCTTTCCTGTGAATTGCTTATTTCCTTTGTCCACTTTCCTACTGACTCTTAAAAATCTGTTTTTTGTCAATTTCCAGGAGCCTTTGGTCTATTATAGATATTTATCATTTGTCATCTGCTTTACAAATATTTATTTTTCCAAATTTATTATTTTCATAGTTTGTTTATGGCTTCTTTTTCACAGAAAATTTAATATTCCTACAAAGTCACACAGATCTACCCCTCTCATATAGCTTCAGGGTGTTCGGCTTGAGGCAAGACATTCTTGACTCCATATTACATATGTGTTGATTATATATGTGGGTTTTTTTTTAGTTCTTTGGTTTCTGCATTTAATTGCTTAATCAGTCTGGCTCTCACACTGACACGCCATGTACATTTTTCTTCCAGATGGTTATCTATTGTAACAGCACCACTAGTAACTAACCCATCCTTCCTACTGAATTGCCTGCCTCTTCTGTCACGGATGAAATTCTCCTCCAAATGGTCGTCTTCTAGCATTTCTATCCCGGTGCGGGTCTGTTTGCTTATTCCTAAACCAACAGTGTATCTATCAGATCAGCGTTCAGAGACTGGCCTCATGTCTGGGGTGGCAGACCCTCCCTTGCTCCTTTTCAGTCTTTTCTTGCCTGTTATTGGGTATTTATTCTCACATATCAGATCATGAACTCCTTACTGCCAAACTCAGACTTAAATTGAAGAAAGTAGGGAAAACCACTAGACCATTCAGGTATGACCTAAATCAAATCCCTTACGATTATACAGTGGAAGTGAGAAATAGATTCAGGGGATTAGATCTGATAGACAGACAGCCTGAAGAACTATGGACGGAGGTTCGTGACATTGTACAGGGGACAGTGATTAAGACCATCCCCAAGAAAAAGACACGCAAAAAGGCAAAATGGCTGTCTGAGGAGGCCTTACAAATAGCTGAGAAAAGAAGAGAAGCCAAAGGCAAAGGAGAAAAGGAAAGATATATCCATCTGAATGCAGAGTTCCAAAGAATAGCGAGGAGAGATAAGAGAGCCTTCCTCAGTGATCAATGCAAAGAAATAGAGGAAAACAATGGAATGGGAAAGACTACAAGAAAATTGGAGATACCAAGGGAACATTTCATGGAAAGATGTGCTTGATAAAGGACAGAAATGGTATGGACCTAACAGAAGCAGAAGATATTAAGAAGAGGTAGCAAGAATACACAGAAGAGCTATACAAAAAACATCTTCACGACCCAGAGAATAACGATGGTGTGATCACTCAATTATAACCAGTCATCCTGGAATTCGAAGTCAAGTGGGCCTTAGGAAGCATCACTATGAACAAAGTTAGTGGAGGTGATGGAATTCCAGTTCAGTTCAGTCACTCAGTCGTGTCAGACTCCTTGCAACCCCATGGACTGCAGTACACCAGGCCTCCCTGTCCATCACCAACTACCGGAGTTTACCGGGAGTACACTGGAATTCCAGTGGAACTATTTCAAATCCTAAAAGATGATGCTGTGAAAGTGCTGCACTCAATATGCCAGCAAATTTGCAAAACTCAGCAGTGGCCACAGGAATGGAAAAGGTCAGTTTTCATTCCAATCCCAAAGAAAAGCAATGCCAAAGAATGCTCAAGCTACCACACAATTGCACTCATCTCACAAGCTAGTAAGGTAATGCTAAAATTCTCCAAGTCAGGCTTCAACAGTATGTGAACTGTGAACTTCCAGATGTTCAAGCTAGATTAACATAAGGCAAAGGAACCAGAGGTCTAATTGCCAATATCCATTGGATCATCAAAAAAGCAAGAGAGTTCCAGAAAAGCATCTACTTCTGCTTTACTGACTATGCCAAAGCCTTTAACTGTGTCGATCACAACAAACTGTGGGAAATTCTTCAAGAGGTGGGAATACCAGACTACCTGACCGGCTTCCTGAGAAATCTGTTTGCACGTCAAGAAGCAACAGTTAGAACTGGACATGGAACAATAGACTGGTTCCAAATCAGGAAAGGAATATGTCAAGGCTGTATATTGTCACCCTGCTTATTTAACTTATATGCAGAGTACATCATGAGAAACGCTGGACTGGATAAAGCACAAGCTGGAATCAAGATTGCTGGGAGAAATGTCAATAACCTCAGATATGCAGACAACACCACCCTAATGGCAGAAAGCGAAGAAGAACTAAAGAGCCTCTTGATGAAAGTGAAAGAGGGGAGCGAAAAAGCTGGCTTTAAGCTCAACATTCAGAAAACTAAGATCATGGCATCTGGTCCCATCACTTCATGGCCAATAGACAGGGGAACAATGGAAACAGTGACAGATTTGGGGGCTCCAAAATCACTGCAGATGATGACTGCAGCCATCAAATTAAAAAAAGCCTGCTGCTTGGAAGAAAAGTTATGACAGCATATTACAAAGCAGAGACATTACTTTGCCAACAAAGGTCCATCTAGTCAAAGCTAGACTACTGGTTTTTCCAGTAGTCATGTATGGATGTGAGAGTTGGACTATAAAGAAAGCTGAGCGCTGAAGAATTGATGTTTTTGAACTGTGGTGTTGGAAAAGACTCTTGAGAGTCCCTTGGACTGCAAGGAGATCCAGTCAATCCTAAAGGAAATCAGTCCTAAACCTACATTGGAAGGACTGATGCTGAAGCTGAAACTCCAACACTTTGACAACCTGATATGAAGGACTGACTCATTGGAAAAGACCCTGATGCTGGGAAAGATTGAAGGTGGGAGGAGAAGGGGACAACAGAGGATGAGATGGTTGGATGGCATCACTGGCTCAATGGACATGAGTGTGAGCAAGCTCCGGGAGTTGGTGATGGACAGGGTAGCCTGGTGTGCTGCAGACCATGAGGTTGCAAAGAGTCGGACACTACTGAGCGAGTGAACTGAACTGATTCTTACGTATAAGTCGTAAGATTATTTTGGCCATTGAAAAGACCTTCTGGGGCTCTGCCTGGTCCTCATTTCTTTTGTTCAGATCATGTTTATATCGCTCTATAGGAGTTTCCAGCTTTCTTCATATAGGTCATGTGCCTTTCTTTGTGTACTTAAATTTTTTGTTTTGTTTCCCATCACTGTAGGGAATGCAATAGAGTCCCCATTTCTAGAAGCTCATTAGTGGAATAGAAAAAAAAATGATGGATTATTCCATATTCTCTGTTCCTGCCTATTCACCAGATTATTTTATTCACACCAGTGGGTTTTACTAGTTTTTCTTCTTTCCCAGTGTTTATGCTGATCCTGTCAGTCTCATCTATATTCATAAGTGGGATGGCTATCTTTCTGTACCATCTGCTATCAGCTGGCGGGGGGCGGGGGGCGTCCGCCTTTTCCTGTGGGATGGAATAGAGCTGCACTCAGACTGGTCTCTAAATGCAGGCAGAGGTCTGCTCCTCCTGCAGCCTGCACCCCCACCCCACCCCGCAGCCGCCTTTGCTCGCCCCTGGCCCGCATCCTGCAGGACAAACCAGCTGCTCCCTACCAGCTACAGCTGCCCTCCCGCTCATGGGGGAGGTGTGAGGAGGCAGGGGGCCTTTGGCTGACGGCACCTCTCAGCCTGGGGAGTAACTGCTGGCCCCCAACTCGTAGGTCTGGGGGCGGGGGAGAAGCCCGGTGACGCCCACCAAGGGGGGCAGGGGGAGCCAGGCGGCCCGCTGCTGGGTGCCGGCGTCATCAGGGTCCCAGAGACCTCCCAGCAGGGCCCACTTGGAAGAGACGACTGCAAGTGCCGCTGGGGGGCGTGAGGCAGGGCAGGCCTCCAGGGGCCGGCCCTCAGCACAGAGGCGCCCAGTCCTGGAGGGCTCTGTCGTCCGCCTCTCCTCACCTCGACCCCAGGCCCCCGGCCTCCCCGCCACTTCCCCGCGGAGCCCGGCTCCCATTCTCGGGGAGCGCCCACTCTGGGCACCTGCACCCTCTCCGTGGATGCCCTTGGCCTCTCCTCCATCCCTTAAAGGAAAGGAAGTCGACGCAAGCGCCCCCCCCCCCCCCCGGCCGCCTCCATCCTCCCCTCCCTACGGGGCTCCTCCTTAGTCGGGGTGGGGGCCGGGGACGGGAGGGGACGCTCATGTGCTTGAAAACGGGGTCCTCCCGGCGCGCTGGCCGAATGCAGGTCCCGGGATTGAGTCCTCGGGCTCCGAGTCCGGCGGGGACACGGCGGCCAGCGACCCAGCGCGGAGCTTCCCGAGCCGCCTCCAGTGCCGCGTCCCCGCTCCCTGTGGTGACCCCAGGGCCTCTCGGGGCGGCAGACAAGGACTGTCCACCGCGGCGCCAAGGCCCGGCCCCTGAAGCGCAGAGCCGTGTGGCTCGATTTCAGAAGGCCCTTCCCTGTGGCCGCTGGAAATGAGAAGCGCGGGGGCTCCGAGACAGGGGTCTCTGCCGGCCGGCCCCTCAGGACCAGGAGAGGGGCCGTCTCCCCGGGGCCCCTCCGCCGAACACGGGGCTGGATGGTCTGCGAGCCTCATAGTCCGGTTCCCTCCTTCTCCCGGGGAGGGAGGGGGGAGAGCCCACGCTGGAAAACTCGTCTGCCCGCTTCCTGCTCGGCTTCCCTGCGTCGTCCCCGGTCGTGGTCTCCCAGGTCCCCTCCCTGCTCCGTGGATCCCGGCCCTGCTGCCCCGGGGCTTCCCTCCTCTGCCGCCGGCGCGGCCGTTTCCCGGGGTCCGCCCCCCCAGGGTCCCGGCCTTTTCTCGGGGTCCGCCCCCCCAGGGTCCCGGCCTTTTCCCGGGGTCCGCCCCCCCCAGGGTCCCGGCCTTTTCTCGGGGTCCGCCCCCCCAGGGTCCCGGCCTTTTCCCGGGGTCCGCCCCCCCAGGGTCCCGGCCTTTTCTCGGGTCCGCCCCCCCAGGGTCCCGGCCTTTTCTCGGGGTCCGCCCCCCAGGGTCCCGGCCTTTTCTCGGGGTCCGCCCCCCCAGCGTCCCGGCCTTTTCCCGGGGTCCGCCCCCCCCAGGGTCCCGGCCTTTTCCCGGGGTCCGCCCCCCCCAGGGTCCCGGCCTTTTCTCGGGGTCCGCCCCCCCAGGGTCCCGGCCTTTTCCCGGGGTCCGCCCCCCCAGGGTCCCGGCCTTTTCTCGGGTCCGCCCCCCCAGGGTCCCGGCCTTTTCTCGGGGTCCGCCCCCCAGGGTCCCGGCCTTTTCTCGGGGTCCGCCCCCCCAGCGTCCCGGCCTTTTCCCGGGGTCCGCCCCCCCCAGGGTCCCGGCCTTTTCTCGGGGCCCGCCCCCCCAGGGTCCCGGCCTTTTCTCGGGGCCCGCCCCCCCAGGGTCCCGGCCTTTTCTCGGGGCCCGCCCCACCAGGGTGCCGGCCTTTTCCCGGGGTCCGCCCCCCCAGGGTCCCGGCCTTTTCTCGGGGCCCGCCCCCCCAGGGTCCCGGCCTTTTCTCGGGGTCCCCCCCCAGGGTCCCGGCCTTTTCTCGGGGCCCGCCCCCCCAGGGTCCCGGCCTTTTCTCGGGGTCCGCCCCCCCAGGGTCCCGGCCTTTTCTCGGGGCCCGCCCCACCAGGGTCCCGGCCTTTTCTCGGGGTCCGCCCCCCCAGGGTCCCGGCCTTTTCCCGGGGTCCGCCCCCCCCAGGGTCCCGGCCTTTTCTCGGGGCCCGCCCCCCCAGGGTCCCGGCCTTTTCTCGGGGCCCGCCCCTCCCCCTCGGGCCCACCCTCTCGTCACCCGGCCACGCCCACCTCCCGGGTAGAACCCGCTGGTTGACCGCAGGGCGCCCCCTGGTGGGCTAGTGGAGCGAAGGGCAGGGGTCCTCCGAGGGTCGGTCAGCAAGGCCTGGGGGACCAGCCTGGTAAGCTGGGGCAAACTTGGGGACACGGCCCTCCAAGGGGAGGGAACGGCCTGTGAGAAAGCTCAGAGCCGGTGCCGGCGGGTCACACAGCTTAAAGCAGGCAGGGGGCTGGCCCAGCAGCTCTCCCAAGGGGCTCAGGCGGCTCGACCTGAGGGCCCGCAGAGCCTGTCTGCGCTGGGGGCGCCACCCTCTGTGGGGCAGAGAGGGCGGCCAGAGCACAGCTCAAGGAGAAGGGGTGGAGGAGGCCAGGCCCGTGCCACCTCCTTGCCCAGGGCCCCGGGGTCTGGGAGCCGGAGGTGAGCTGCTGTCCTTGGAATGGCTTCAAGGGAGGTGGTGGGCTTGGACCTCAGGGAAGGGGAGGCAGTGGGGGGTTCTGGAGAAAACAGGAGCGGGGGCTCCTCCTCCACGCACTCCCCCTCCCCGGGACGGCCCCCCTCCTGCCTGTCAGGCCCTTCAGACCCTGGGGTTCTCATCCTTACCCCGTCCACCCTACGCAGTGATGCTGGGGACACTCCAGGGCTGTGGGGTGTCCCCGGAGCAGGCCCAGTGAGGACCAGAGTGCACACTGCGATAGGGGGTGGTAAGGGGGCTGGGGGTGGGAGCCCGGACCCCCGGGAGCCTGGGGAGGGAGCTTCCTGGGAGGGAGCGAGGCTGCTGGGGGAACACAGGCAGCCCCCTCCAGCCCATGGCTGAGAGCTCCCTGATGCATCTCCTGAAGCTACTGGGCTGGTAGGCTCATCTGTCATTGTCTTAATTTCAGTTATTTTTTTTTCTTTTCCAGTTATTTTTTAAAAGATTTATTTATTTATTTATATCAGCTTCCCTGATAGCTCAGTTGGTAAAGAATCCGCCTGCAATGCAGGAGACCCCAGTTCGATTCCTGGGTCAGGAAGATCCCCTGGAGAAGGGAAAGGCTACCCTCTCCAGTATTCTTGGGCTTCCCTAGTGGTTTAGCTGGTAAAGAATCTGCCTGCAATGCAGGAGACCTGGGTTTGATCCCTGGGTTGTGAAGATCCACTGGAGAAGGGAAAGGCTACCCACTCCAGTGTTCTAGCCTGGAAAATTCCATGGACTGTATATGTCCATGGGGTCGCTAAGAGTCGGACACAACTGACTGACTTTCACTTTATTTATTTTATCTTTGGCTGTGGTGGGTCTTTGTTGCAGTGTGTGGGCTTCTAATTGTGGTGGCTTCTCTTGGCTTCTCTTTGGATCTGGTGACTCTAGGCGCTAAGGCTTCAGTAGTTGCGGTCCATGGACTTAGTTGCACCACAGTGTGTAGGATCTTCCTGGACCAGGGATTGAACCAGTGTCCCTGCACTGCAAGGCAGATTCTTAACCACTGGACAACCAGAAAAGCCCTTTCAGTTATTTTTAATTTTAGAATTTCCATCTGATTTTTTTTTCATGGACTCCAGGCCTCTGGTAAAATTCTCCATCTTGTTGTTTGTTTCTCGAATGTTCTAATAATAATTATTTAAAAACCCAACTTGATAGCCCCAATATCTGGATCACCTGTGAGTCTGTTTCTTTTCTTTTCTAAAAGCTGTGCCAGGTCTTCGTTGTTGCATGTGAACTCCAATTTGTGGCATGTGGGATCTCGTTCCCTGGCCAGGGATGGAATCCGGGCCCTCTGCCTTGGGTCTTAGCTACTGGACCACCAGGGAGGACCCTGTTTCTTTCTTCTCTAGATTCTTTCATTCCTTCTTCCTTCCTCTCTTTGGTCCCTGTGCCCTGGCATGCCCTGTAATTAGGGGATCAATGTTGGACCTGTTCAGGATGGGGGTGACATACGTCTCATTGGCTGGAGACTCACTTGCAGGGCCTTCAGCTGAAGGCTTGGGTGTCTCCCACAGCTCCCTCTCCTCCATGCCGGGGTTCTGGTTTCTCTCTCCAACACCACCAAACTGCTAAGCATTACGCTTCGCCTTCTAGGCTTTTAACTGCCATTTTCCGCGTGGCTTCTTAGTCCTTCACCCCAAACAGCATGAAGTGAAGTGAAGTGAAGTCGCTCAGTCATGTCTGACTCTTTGCAACCTCAAGGACTATAGCCCACCAGGCTCCCCTGTCCATGAGATTTTCCAGGCAAGTATACTGGAGTGAGCTGCCATTTCCTTCTCCAGGGGATCTTCCCAACCCAGGGATTGAACCCAGGTTTCCCACATTGCAGGCAGACGCTTTACCCTCTGAGCACCAGGGAAGCCACCAAATAGCATAGGAATGGGCAAATACCTCCAGGGGGCAAGAGGCTCTTAGATGGGATTTCATGCCGGCGTTTCTCTCCCTAGGCCTGTGAGGATGTGGAGAGCTGAGGTGCTGTGTTCTCCTTGGCCTCCAGGGACAGCATCTTCCACAGATCAACAGGCTCCCAAGGGGGGGAGTGGCCGAGGACATGGCTCATCTCAAGGTGATCCTCTCTGGTAAGGGCCTCAGCCCCTCAAGTCTTGGCTGCCTCGGTTGCTCACCAATGCCTTCAAACACTTGTGTATTTTTAAAAATCTTTCGGCCATACCGTGCAGCATGTGGCAATCTTAGTTGCCTGACCAGGGATCAAACTTGTGCCCTCTGCATTGGCAGTGTTCTGTCTTAATCACTAGGCTGCCAGGGAAGTCCCCAGCTGCGTATTTTTAAATGTGGCTTTTAAAGGTGCTTTTGATGCAAAGTTTTGTCTGATGTTTGCTATTCATCACAGTTGGAAGCATGATTAAAAATTAAATAGTCTTATAAACTACAATGAGTGCTATGGATTTGCTTGGTATATGGTCAGAACAATCTACTGGATGATTTAATTGACTCAGAAATTATCAGGGCTTCCCAGGTGGTTCAGTGGTAAAGAGTCCATCTGCCAATGAAGGAGACATGGGTTCAATTCCTGATCTGGTAAGACCCCACATGCCATGGAGCTGTTAAGCCCACGTACCGCAGCTCCAGAGCCGGTGCTCTAGAGCCTGGCAGCTGTGACTCCCAGTAAGGGAGTTACGTGAGCCTGAGCGCACACGCCACAACTGCTGGGGCCCGAGTGCCCTGGAGCCTGTGCCCGGCAACGCAAGAAGCTGCAGAAATGAGAAGCCCTCGCACCACAACTGGAGCAGAGCCTGAGCAGCAGCGAGGACCCAGTACAGCCATAAATAAATAAACTGAAAATTTTTTAAATTGTCGAAATTATGTGTTTTAAATTTTATAACAAAAATAAGAGAAATCAGGTTGCATTATTTTAGTAAGAACCACATTAAGAAAACATATCAAGATAGAGTATGTGGTTTTCTTTTCTTTTCTTGCTCATGAAATCTGACACTAGAAACCACGAGAAACTTAAGCCTGTGTGACTCCCCTGGTGAGTGGTTTTCGTGTGGGAATCGTACACCTAAATAAGCCAGTTCCTCTCTAGAGGAACTAAAGAGCCTCTGGATGAAGGTCAAAGAGGAGAGTGAAAAGCTGGCTTAAAACTCAACATTAAAAAAACTACGATTATGGCATCTAGTCCCATCAATTCATGGCAAATAGATGGGGAAAATGTAGAAAGAGTCAGATTTTATTTTCTTGGGTTCCAAAATCACTGTGAACAATGACTGCAGTCACAAAATTGCTCCTTGGAAGGGAAGCTATGATGAACCTAGACAGTGTATTAAGAAGCAGAGACATCACTTTGCTGACAAATGTCTGTATAGTCAAAGCTATGGTTTTTCCAGTAGTCAT